CTCTGCTTTAAGACTCTTTCGCAGGATAACCTTGACTTTTCCAGTCCCCTGTCTGCTTTCTCCCCTGTTTTCATCCAAACAGCTCACCAGTTTCTTCACCTAATCAGCCCATCTCTGCCTCAAAGCCTTTGCTTTCAAGTTGTACCTAATATCCTATCACCTCAAATACTCCAGCCTTGTTTTCTTTATTTTATTTTTTTAAATAATTTAAAAAAAAATTTTTTTTATTGATTTTAGAGAGAGGGAAAGGGAGAGGGAGAGAGAGAGAAACATCGATGGGCTGCCTCCCACACACCCCCTTACTTGGGGTCAGGCCCAAAACCCAGGTATGTGCCCTGATCAGGAATTGAACCAGCGACCTTTTGGTGCAAGGGAGGACACTCTTCCAGCTGAGCCACACTAGCCAGGCCCAGCCTCATTTCTGTCTTAGGATCAAAACATACTTGAAATCCCAGCTCATGCAGAAGCTTTCTCAATCAACAAAACCAGCGTGTTAAGGAAGAAAACTCGGAGCTCTAGGGAGTGTGATAACATTTAAAAATTTACTTGTGCCACTAGCTGGTTGTTGTGATCTTGAGTAAGTTACTCATCCTGCCTGGGGTTATTACGACCTCTGTAAAATAAAGAGGTGACCCAAGTGATCCCTCCATACCCTAAAATCTATGGGATTAAGGCGCACCATTTGCCTCCTGCTACCCTGTCAAAACCCACAATGATATCCTCTCTGGCTATCAATTAATAATGCAGGTACATTCTGTGATGAATTAGAAATAATTGTACACTTAGTTTATATAAAATGTACTATCTCCACTGCTGTGCCCTCAGCACACTACCATGAATGTATGCATATTTAATATATGATGGTAATAAAACATTTATGGTGCAGATTTGCTTCTGTTAATGACAGACTAGTCAATTCAGATCAACCCTCCTCAGAGAACAATTTTTTAATTGGTTGAATACGTGAAGTGCTAACACGTTAATGAATAATTATGGTGCCAAGACCTGGGAAAATGAAGAATTAGCGAGAAGGGAGCATCTGAGCCCACTTTTTCCTTAGAAAGTGGTAGCTGAGGGACTGAAAAGCTGAGCAGTTTTTGACGAGTTGATAGGACTAGGGAGCCAAAAACTGAGTTTGGGGTGTGCCTGGGCAGCAGGCGGGGGTACCCCACAACCTGGAGTTGAAAGGCTACCACATAGTAAGTGTGGACAGAAATAGACCATCTCTCACAGACACTGTAACTCATCTGTGAATTACCTCAGTCTCTGCTTGGATTAAGGTAATTGAGATTGTTAGCGTCCCTAGATGACTGTACAGAGCAAACTTACATTCCACTTTGCAGGAATATAACATCATCCTAGGCCTTACATTCTCTCTACAAGTTTTCATATACAATGTCCATAACTCAATCAAATATAATCCTGCCCGTGGGAGTTAAGACAATGTGATTAATTCCCAAGAGAAACACTATATAATAGAAAGGACTCACAGGGGATCTAGATAATAGCATTATCTTACACGGACTTTAAAATAACTGATTAATATAGTATTTAAAGAAATAAGGTAGCAGCTTAGATACAGCTGAAGCAAGAACTAGTGAAGTAAAAGTAAACAAAGAAGAGAGCCAGGGATGTCATGAAAAATATAACGTGCATTTGGAGTCCTGGAAGGAAAGGAGAGAGAAAAGGAGACAGAGGCACGATTTGAAGAGATAATGGCTGAGAATTTTTCAAAATTGATAAAAGACATAAAGCCAAAGATTGCAAAATCATTATAAACCTCCAGCAAGATAAATATAAAGTTGGCCCCTTCCTTGATACCGTGCAGAAAATTAATTCTAGGGGGACTGCAGATTCAAATGTGAAAGGTAAAATTATAAAGCCTCTAGAAAATAATTTAGGACCATATCTTTGGAAAGGAAAAGATTTCTTACACAGGTGACTCAAAACTTTGACCACAAATAACAAGACTAATATTTTGATCTTCTTTAAAATTTGTAACTGTTTGTTATCAAACAATAAAATTAAGAAAATGCAAAGGTAAGCCACAGAATGGGGGAATGTATTTATAACATTTATAACAAAAGATTTGTAGCCAAACAAATTAATAAGAAAAAGTCATAAAGCCCAATAGAAAAGATGGCAACCAATGTGAATAGTCAGCTCATAAAAGAATATACATTTGTCCAGTCAACATGTGAAAAGGTGCCCAATCACATTAGTCATGAGGAAATGCAGATTAAGCCACAATGCAATACTATTACGCACATACCAGAATGGCTACAATTTTAAAGACTGACAATACCAAGTGTTGGTCAGATGTGAAGCAATGGAAATTTATATAGTGCAGGTGGGAACATAAACTGACACATTTTGGAAAAAGTTGGGCCTTATCTACGACAACCGAACATGACTTTTCCAAGACCTAGCGAGGCTACTCCCAACAGAAATGTGCGCCCACGTGTACCGTGAGACACATACAAGACTATTTATAAGAGCATGATTTATAAGAGCCCCAAATTGGAAACAACACATATATCCACCAGCAGCAAAATGTATAAATAAATTGTGGTGTGTCCATATAATGGAATATTTTGCAGCCCCCTCCTCCAATGAACTAGCTCAACTACATACAATAAATGGATGAATCTCACAGACATAATGTTGAGTGAAACAAGCTAGATTAAAAATGATATATTCTATATTATTCCATTTATGTAATGCTCAAAATAGTAAAACTAATACCTGGTGGTGATAAAAAGTCAAAATAATGGTTATCCTTGAAGTGACTGGGAAGGGGCTCAAAGTGGGGCTTCTGGGGTGTTATTTTCTAATTCTTGACCTCTAGTAGTTATATAGGAGCATTCTCTCTACATGATTCATTGGGTTGTACATTTTTTTAAAAGATTAAAAAAACCAACGATTATGTGTATTCACATGAGGACTTATCATTTACTGAACTCTAGGCTAAATGCTAGAAACAGGAAAGGTGAATCGGAGACAGTGTCTGGCTTCCAAGAATTCGGAGTCTAGCAGTTGGCAATGACTTAGAGACAAGTTGCTGTGGCATCGTAATGTGCTAAGTGCCATCACGGGTCAGCGTAGGGAACAAGATTAGGACCAGGCCTGCCTCATAGGGTCAGGATTGGTTCCCCTTAAGGAGTCAACATGTTTTGAAAAATTAGGTCTTAAAGTATGCTTGCCCTTCAACAAACGATGAAGCCGGCTGGGGGTGTTCTAGGTGGAAAGTGCGCAAGCCTGAGTGTAGTCTGGAAGGGCAGGCGTGTTCACTCAGCCCCCGAAAACGTCGTGAGAAAAACCAATCCTCATTCAATTTTGCATTAGTGCTGGAACTGATGATAAAGCTGCCGGAGGTGTGAGTGAAAATAGACTCGAGGGAGAAATTTTTACTTGTTAATCTTAAACTCCATGCTCGGATCTTAGATATTCTTTAGAGCACCCCCAGTTGATATCTTTGGTAGTAGCCAAGCACTAATAAAAGTAAATTCTCAGGGACTGGGGATGGGGGCGGGACGGGGTGGAATGGGTCACTGGGGAGAAAAAGGGACATCTGTAATATTTTGAACAAAAAGTAGAGGAAAATAAAAAATAAAAAAGTAAATACTGGAATTAAAAATGGTGCCTCTCTTCAGGGGGAAATGGGAGCGCTTCTGAGCTGCTGCTCGGGCCTGCTGTTCCGACGCTCACCCGCTGCAGGGCTTTCGGTCCGCTCGCCCTGCTCACGCCACCGCTGCTCACCCACTTGCAGGCGGCACGTACCCTGCACGAGCCTCCACGCGGGGAGCCTCGCTCCCGACACCCGCAAATCGGGGAGCCGAGGTCCCTGCGTGCGCCCCTGGGCGCGCTGCACAGGCCTGTGCCTGCTGATGAGTCCCTCTCCCAGGCACCCGCTGGCCCCTCTGCCGAGCACATTGCTGACACCCCGTGAGTGCTGAACAAATGTTTGTTGAAACCACATTCAGTAAAAGCCCAGGTGGCGAGTGGCCCCCATAGTGCAGCTGTGGCCTCAGGAGAGCTTATCTTTGGACTGACAAGGGGGCCATTCATCATCCAAGTGAAGACGCTTGGAGCATGAGAAAAGGTGTTATTAACACACGTGCCGGGGCAAACCCAGGGCCTTCTGGAGGAAACTCGGAGGTACGGTCACTCTCTCATAACTCGGTCACCACAGTATTATTACAAGGCGTCCTGAGTCACCCTAAGAAGTCCCGTCTCTCCTGGGATCCCAATCCGGGGTGACCTTGCCGGGTCTGGCATACACAGCCCACTCCTGCATGCTAGGTCTCTGAGAGGAAGGTGGGCCTGGGACTAGAGCCTCTTCCTCCCCGTGTTCAAGGCTGAGTTCTCGCCTGGGCCCTCCGGGCTCCTCCGGCATCACCCAAGCCTGGCGCCTGCCCGTGGGTGACCCACGCGGATGCTGAGAGTTACTCGGTCCCTGCGCCAGCATGTAGTTTGCAGCACCCTGTCGTCTGCAGGGGACACAGGGGTGCGGGGCACCACGCGCTCTCCCCCTCTCCCTGCGCTTCTGCTTCAGACGCACGACCTCCCAGCGCAGGGCTTCCATCCTGCCGCCCCGTCTGCGGGAAAGCCCGCCGTCTGTCCGTCTGTCCGTCACCGCAGGCTCCGCCAGGCCACCTCAGGAGGGTTTCCCTGGTGGCATGGGCATAAGTTCAGGAGACACATGTCTTGGTAGCCTGGGGACTTCCTGGAATAGGGAGTCTGACAAAAGGGGAGATGAATGACAAAGATATAAATTTGCAATGAAAGAAAACAGTACCCCCGAGCACCAAGAAATACTTTCCATGCTGTGTAAGCGATACGTAAACATTACGGCTGATTCCCAGTGATAAACTGCCCACTTCCCCGCCTCGCTGATAGGAAGGCTGTGCGGGGAGATAAAGCAGGGGCGCGCTGTGCAGGACAAACATCTCGGCATCCAATAAACCTCAAATTGTTTCTTTTTTTTTTTTGTTTTCAAGACCGGTTGCTATTTCCTCCGTGACTCTTGTTTATTAGCGCGTTGACTCATCCGGAGTCCAGCGCCCGTTTCCACACCAGAGAGATGGACTTGCACACCTGCCAAGTGCGGTCGGAGGCGCAGATAACGGCCAGCGACAACAATGGCCTTCCTCAGCCTGCCGGCCAGCAGCTCTTGGCAGGGTGGGCTGCGAGTGACTTATCGTCGCCGCCCCGAGGGATCTGAAGTTCTGGAAGCGCAGAGTGGTTGTTTGCCAGACAGAGATAACGGGCAGGATGCGACCGAGAGCCAGACGCACTCTGGAAGTTGGGGCTCTACCTGGCAGACGCTGCAGAGGAAAACGGGACGAAGCGGCCAATTAGCACATGGTTTCCTGGTGGCCAGGCCTCGCTGTCAACACACCGAATGTTCTTCAGGCAGCCAGAGGACCCACTTTATTCCTGGGTCGTGAAAAGAATACTTAATGGCCTGTACCCCAGGCAAGTGTTCCCATAGCTGTGATTTTTTTAAATCTTCATCCAAGGATATGTTTTTCTTAATTTTGAGAGAGAGAGGACTATCCATGTGAGAGAGGAACATCCATCAGTTGCCCCCCATATGCCCCCTGACTAGGGATCAAACCCGCAACCTTTTGGTGAGCCACCTGGCCAGGACCCATAGCTGTGATTTTTTAAAAATGTTTTAAATTATAGTTGACACACAATATTATATTAGTTTCAGGTGTATGTCACAGTGATTAGACATTTGTATCACTTACAAAGTGATCACCCCGGTATGTCTTGCACCCCCTGGCACCACACAGTTATCACAATACCACTGACTATTCCCGATGCTGTACCGTACATCCCTGTGACTATATTTACAGCTGCCAGTTCCTGCGCCCTAATTCCTTCACTTTTTTGCCCATTCCCCACTCTGCCCCCTCCCATCTGGTCACCATTAGTTTGTTCTCTGTATCTATGAGTTTGTTTCTGTTTTATTTCATTTGTTCATTTATTTTGTTTCTTAGATTCCACTTTATAAGTGAAATCGTATGGTGTTTGTCTTTCTCTGTCTGACTTATTTCATTTAGCCTAATACCTTCTTGGTCCATCCATGTTGTAGCAAATGGTAAGATTTCATTTTTTTTACATGTACCATGTCTTCTTTATCCATTTGTATATTGGCAGATGCTTAGGTTGTTTCCATATCTTGATTATTATAAATAATTATTGTAAATAACACTGCAATGGATATGGATGTCCATATATCTTTTGAATTAATGTTTTCAAAGTCTTTGGATAAATACCTAGAAGTGGGGTTGCTGGGTCATATGGTAGTTCTATATTTAGAACTCTCATAGGTGTGATTTTTATTTTTTAATTTATTTTTATCAATTTTAGAGAAAGAGAAGAAGGGTGGGGGGAGAGAGAAAGTGAGAACGAGAGAGCTAGAGAGCGAGAGAGAGAGAGAGAGAGAGAGAGAGAAACATCAACTTGTTGCTCCACTTAATTACCCACTCACTGGTCGATTCTTGTATGTGCCCTGACCGGGGATCGAACCTACAACGGTGGCATATCCGGCCCACGCTCCAACCAAGTGAGCTACTTGGCCAGGGCAAGGTCTGATTAAAAATAATAATGATAATAATTATATAAGCAACTTACCTTGAAGAGAGAATCTGTTCATTCTCAGTTGCTCTAGTTAAAAACCACATGACTGTGTGGCGACCAGAAAGGGCTCGATAGTCTTATAAATTATCTTCTCAATGGTCGACACCTCCTTCGTTCTCAAAGGATGGCTTTGTAACCTAGAGAGACAGTGAAGATATGTCAGAGATTTGACCTGCTTATTCTGAGCCACCTAAAGAGCCTCTGACACCGGCATTAACTCGTATTAAAAGGTCCTCGAAGAGCCTTTAGATGCGTGGATGCTACACACTGCTTGAGGCATTCGGCGCACGGGGTAGGCCTCATCTCGACAGTTTGCGTTGTGAATGCGTGATGAAAATGTCCTTCATTGTCTCATAGAACTTTCTAGAACAATGACTAAAACGATGACAAAGGAATGATTGTTTTGTAACAAGTTCAGTCAGTACTACACTATAAGTCACTTAAACTACGGAATGTTACACGGTCCTGCACAGCACGTTAGTGTCAGCCAGCTTTGTCAGCTTGAGGCGGTGGAGGGCCAGGATCCGAGCTGTTTCCTCGGTTTTCAAAGTCACAGAACTTGTTCTTAATCAACAGCCACTCCAAGCAAATGTAACAGTTTGCTGAGTCCCTGGAATTTTGATACATAGTAGATATTTACATAGTGATTTAAGATGCCGACATGAATGCTCCCATATCAATGCTAAGTGACTTAATGACAGTGTAAATATCGTATATTTCCCCCCTCACCTATGCCTACTCCCATTCTGAGTTATTATGAACTAATCAGTGTCATCTCCAGAAGCGTTTACCAGGCATCTATCATGGTATTGTGCTAGGTCGCCTAAAAATACCCACAACAAACAAACAAAAAACCCACTCCCTCTAGATTTTACAGTACTTCTTTTTCTTACTATGTGGATAGGTTTGTTTTTATATGTTGGTCATTTCAATACCCTGAAGAGAGGGATCTCATCAGAGAATCTTACTTCAATAAAAGCCAGTTTTACTACCTATCATACAACATATTCTCAGTAAGATTTTGGCAAGTGAAGGTGAAATTTAGCTCTGGGTTGCTTCTGCTTGGGTAAGGGCCACAACCCTCATCATTAGTCTTTGGTGATGAGCCATCTGATCTCAACAGTAGCCAGTTCCTTGCACTGAGCAGTTCACTAATTTAATACAGAGAACTCAAAAAGGTCAAGGTCAGAATGGGATAAAATTGACTTACTCGTTATGAGGGGATTTTAATGCCCTGAGCCCTAAACATAGAATCTGCAGCCTTGGCTCTGCCTCCCAGGGGCTGGCCATCTGGAAGGCAGGTGGGCAGCCACAGTGACCCAGGAGCCGAGGGTTGTCTTCTGCGTCTGCTCCGTGGAGCAGCACAGGACCTGGTGGGGACAATCCCTACTTGCTCGGGGGGAACCTGCAGTTTATATGTGTACATATGAGACAAAGCTGGTTGCTGTCAACATAGACTATATTAGTGTAGGAATAGTGAGGTGTTATTTTCCAAAATTCAGTTAATGGGGGAAATTAAGTAATTTTTTGATTTTCAGAATGCTTACTGTGGAATAATATAGGTCTTTTTCTTCTCTCAACCACTTTACCCCCATTTATTTATTTTAAACATTTTATTATAAACAGTTATGTCTTGAGACAGTAATATTCTAGAACAGAAAGCTGGTTAAAGAAATAGTGATTTTATTGAACACATTTAGGGAAAATCATCTGAAAGTTAAAGAGAAGCAAAGACAATCTTAATTACTACAATATTACCATATTTTTTCAAATCTGACCTAATAATTAAGATGCACTTAATTATTGTCTTACATGTAACCATTTCTGAACTGCATAGTATCTTATAATGTGTATCTATATTTACTGTGGTAGTGTTATTTTCCTTCCTCACCTTCCCCTAAAAATATTAATTCATCATCATAAAAATCAGGGGCACCTTAGAACCACAGAAACGAAGAGGTCAGAATTAGCAGAGATAAATTTTCCCACATTTCCTCAGCCTGTAATTTTCCATATTAAAGTTTAAAGATCAAGTGTTTTTCCCTTTGATTAAGTGGTTGTCCTGAAAGCAGTGTCCTATTAGAGGGTGCTCCTCCTACTCTGTTTCTTGGGTAAAATGTAAGCATATTATTACCCATTATGATATTTAGAATTCCTTAATTATTACCAATAATGACTCAGAATGGTAAGAAATTAAATATAAAACTTGAAATAAAATATAAAATCAGTGTAATATGTGTTCGTACTGCAGACAATGTGTAAACGCCCCATTCCCACCCCGAGCGGGTGTCTGCAGCACAGTTCTGACAGCAACCACCTGGTTCTGACACCAGCCACCTGGTTCTGACACCAGCCACCCGGAGCTAGGGTCACAGTGCACGGTTTCAGGGCTCAGTCTCACAAGACTGCTGGTGCTCAGACTCCAGCCGAAAGCCTCGGGCCACCCACGTCTCTGATGACTAATTATAAGTGTAAGGGTTCCCATGACCTCTCAGGTTTGATAACTTGCAAGAATAACTCATAAAACTCAGGGAAGCGCTATACTGATGATTACAATTTTATTATGGTGGATACAAGTCATGACCAGCCAAATAGAAGAGACACACAGGGCAAGGTCTGAGAGGGTTGCGGACACAGAGCTTCATGCCTTTCTTTGTGGAATCTGGGGGAGCCCCCTCCTGGCACATCAATGTGCTCACCCACCAGGAAGCTCCACTGGGCCTCAGTGTCCAGAGTTTTCACTGAGGTTTCATTGCTACATATGATTGATTAATTCGTTGGCCCCATGATTGGACTCAGTCTCCAGTGCCCCTCCCTGGAGCTTGGGCTGATCCAAAATTCCAACCATCTAATCAGGTGGTTGGTCTTTTGGGTGGCGGCACCCCTCCTTAAGCTATGTAAGCGTAGGTCTTGAGTCATCTTATTAGCATAACAAAGACACCCGGCACTCTGGAAATTCCAATGGTTTTTGAAGCTCTGTGCCAGGAGCTGGGGACGGAGCAGATATACACTGTCCATTACACCATGGGTGATGATCTAGATCTCACATAGCTTTTTATGTGTGTGTAACCCTTGCCTTTCCGCCGGCTTACTCGCAGGCTGCTGCAGTCTCTGTGGGATGTCTTGCTGCCATCTGCAGTTCAGAAAATTCACAATTATGCTTGGCTTCATTCACCCAAATTAGCTTGCTCTGAAGTCTCCTTCGTAATGGTTAAGGGAAACGAGTCTCTCTCTTCCTGGACTTAAAACTCCAAATTTCACATCCGTCCTTGACTTTCCCCTGTTCCCAAGATTTCCTGTAAATCTTGTCTGACCACATAATTTAGATCCCTTCCCAGCCTTTTTCAACTCAGGCCTCCTGATAATAAGTGTTGAAAAATCAAAAGCAAACAAGGCAGTTAAACTCTAGCCCAGGTTAAACTCCACACACGTCTTTACTTTGTTCTTGTTTCCAGAGAGTCTCCTATGTTCCCTGTGGTGGAGAATTTCTGGGCTAGACTATAGTCGAATCACAAATATGATTTTGGTCATCCTTAGCTTTTCTGCATCAAGATCATCAGTATTTCAAGAGAGC